TTTTTCCTACACCTCTCCTTCCTATCTCAAGGCATGGAAGAAGGGGAGATTGCCAGTGAGGAGGAAGAACCACAAGAAAAATCCCAAAGCAAGCCCCATAAGAAAAAATCGAAAAAAGACAAGGACAGACACAGAGACAAACGGAAGTCTAAGAAGGATAAGACAGGAAACAAAGAAAGAAAAGAAAAAAAGAAGGGAGCGAGATCGGAGTAGGTCCAGAACCCATGAGCGCATCAAGTCAAGGAGTAGGTCACGGAGTCATGATAGAGTGAGGTCGCGGACCAGGTCAAGGACCCATGAGAGAGGAAGATCGAGAAGCAGGTCCCGGTCAAGAGAGAGGCACAAGTCAAGGAGACATTCAAGGTAAGGGAATCTTGAGGATCTAAAATAGGGCACTTAGGAAAAGAAATCTTTGGGGTTTGAAAAGAATCATTCAAAAGAAAGGAATAATCTTTAGGGTCCAAAAGGAAGCATTCAAGCTAAAAGAATTTTCTTTTGGGTCTAATAGAGGCACTTAGGGTTAAAGAATCTCTAGGGTCTAAAAAGAGGCATCAGGGTAAGGGAGTCATTTTTTGAGTCCAGAATGAGACATTCAGGGTAAATTAATCTTTGGAATCCGAAAAGAGGCATTCAGGGTAAAGGAATAATCTTGGGGGTCTAAAAAGGGGAATTCAGAGTAATGGGAACCAACCTTTTTGGGTCTAAAAAAGAGGCATTCAGGGTTAACCCCTCCCCACCAGATGGCATGTACATACATACCTTGACTGTTATGGACCAAGTGGCAGGTGGCATCGCATTATGACCATTCCTGTGCCATTGGCTTATGGGATGGAGCTTATTTTTCTTTGGTATTAGTAGCATTATTTGTATGGTTAACCTTTAAGGGCAATAGCACCTAAAGTGAAGGTAAACCTTCACATTAAAAACAAACAAAATGAATAATATCAAAATATTAGCTCTTAGATGGAAACTGCAGATGCATGCCAACAAGTGGCCCACAAACCAGTTTTTTTACCTGGAGGTAACGGGTTAAGGAATCTCCAGTGGGGTCAAAAACAGTATTTTAAAGTTAATATTTTAGGGGATCTAAAAACAGGTATTTAAAGTTAATATTTTGGGGGGTCTAAAATGAGGAGCAGGGTGAAGAATATCATTTTGGGTCTACAAAAAATGGCATTCAATGTGAATAATCAAGGTAAAGGAATTTTCTTGGGATCTAAACAGAGGCCCTCAAGGTAAAAGAATTTTCTTGGGGTCTAAACAGAGGCTCTCAAGGTAAAAGAATTTTCTTGGGGTCTAAACAGAGGCTCTCAGGTAAAGAATTTTCTTGGGGTCTAAAACAGAGGCCTCAAGGTAAAAGAATTTTCTTGGGGTCTAAACAGAGGCCTCAAAGGTAAAAGAATTTTCTTGGGGTCTAAACAGAGGCCTCAAGGTAAAAGAATTTTC